AGAAAAAGAGTTAAAGGAAACAATGGTACTTGGGACTGACGATCTGTTGGGTGTGAGCAGGGTAAAATGTATTTTGTGAAGGGATTCCCGGGAAAACCCGGTTTTTTTTTCATATAAATCCCGGGCTTGGTCCTGGAAATGGGGAAAAAAAAGTGGACCCCCCCAAAAACGATTACCTCGAATGGACCCAAATTTTTTAAGTGTATTTATGTAAGTGCGTTTTTTACGTGTTGTTTGGGAGCTGAAATGGACTAATTCTACTTCACAAAAATTTTTTATGGGAACAAATTTTGGTCAGTACTGGCACCCCGAAATACTTCTGGGGTGAAAAAATACGTTTAAAAACCGGGGGGCCAAATGTCAATGCCTGGGACTTTAAAGGTGGGTTTGGGATATTGGCATTTTTTGGGGGATTTGTTTTTGTATCTTTTTATGGGTATGCTTCCCAAACTGTTTTTATTCTGAGCACCTCTGCCAAAAAAAAGTGATGTTTTTGCGAGGGGTGGTTAAAGTGTTGAATGATGATGAAAGTATTTTTTTTTTGGGGATTTTTCCCTTTTTTTTTTTGGGCACCCTGCCTTGGGGGGGAGACGGCCGCTTGTTGAAAAAAAAAAAAAAAAAACTTTTTTTGTAAGGACCTCGGATGGAAAAAGCAAAAAATTTGGGAAATTAAATGCCAAATTTTATAAGTGAAAAAAATTTTAAATGTTTAAAAACAATTTAGTAAAAAACCATAACTTTGTGTAGGTTTTACAGGAGGACAAGACTCCTTATCCCAAAACATTCCAAGAAAATCTCCAAATGATAGTTACTCTCAATTTTTTAAGCTCGCTCTGTGAATTTTACTAAATTCATAGGGTTTTCCAACACTAAAGTATCTACCTCCTGCATTTGGATTCACTTTTTTTTTGGGTCTTTTAAACCCCTTTCCCGGGTCCATCCCGTAGATCAAACGGCTTTACGTTCAGGGTCCAAAAACCCTTTGATTTGCCCTGGGGCCCCAGCTCACTCTGATAAACTGTGTGGGAAAATTTGGGCCCAGATATGAGAGAATACATCTATGTGGTATTTTGTGCACCACATAAAAAAAAATCCTGCAGACACTGTGTTTTAATGGAGAGAAAAAAACTGAAAACCCTGATTTTTTGATTTTAAAAAAACAACTTTTCATGCTTTTTTTATGTTTTTTTATAGTTGGGGATTTGTGATTTCTTGGGGGCCCCAAATTTTAGAATGGAAGCATATTTCCAAAAAAAAAGAGATGATTTTGATTGGTTTTTAAACCCTGGAAATGGCTTGAAAAATGGGGCTCAAAGTTTGCAAAAAATGTTTAAAAATTTTTTCCGATGTTCATGAGTAAACAAAAAGACCTCACCCCGTCTAAAACACGCCAGCTGGTGGGTCTAATTTACATTTACAAATGTGGTATGATATTTTTTACAATTAGTACAAAATTGCTAAAAGGAAAAATTTTTTTTGGTGTGAAAAAAAATTTATTATGTGAATAAAAAATCCAAAAAGGAATTTATTTGTTAAGCCCCAAAAAAGTAACTAATGAAAAGAGGAAATGTTTGTTTAGTGCCCGGGAAAACCTACTTGTTTTTTCCCGGGCCCTATTTTTGAAATTGGAATATTTTTAACTTTTTGTTTAAAATTTGGGCCCAAAATTAAACCAAAATTTTTATCACTTTTTTTTTGTAGTTGAAACAGTTTACCCGGCGATTTCCCTTTCACTCAATCGAAAAGAATGAAGTTTAAAACTAGTTTAAAAGCTAAGAATTTGGTTGAGGGAAAAAATGTTAATTTGGGCCTTAAAAAAGGGGGTCAAATTTTGGGAAAAAAACGGGCCCATTCGTAAATATCGCTAAAAATCAAAATTCCGAGAGCATAAATTTTTGTCAATTTTCCTCAAATTTTTTTTTTAAAAATTTTTGTTTTTTTACCTTCACAAAAAGATTCTCTTTCCATTTAAAAGAAAAAATAAAAAATTTTTTTTTTTTTGAAAATTCTTGGACACTGGGGCACCACTTCAGATTTGGCCTTGGACCCTAAAGGGGGTTAACAGATGGGAAGATATTAAGGGGTACTTTAAAATTGTGCTGTTGTTCATTAACTCTGTCTTTTGAAACTTTTAACTCTTCAGGTCCAAGGCCCAAATCTGAAGTGGTGCCCCAGTGTCCAAGAATTTTCAAAAAAAAAAATTTGTTATTTTTTCTTATGAAATGGTAGAGAATCTTTTTGTGAAGGTAATAAAACAAAAAGTACAAAATTTGAGGGAAAAAATTGATGAAATTATGCTCTCGCGAATTTTGATGTGTCAGCGATATTTACGAATCGGCGATTTTGCCGAATTTGACTCCCATTTTAGGCCAATTACATTATTCCAGTCAACCAAATTCTTAGCTATTTCATATAATTACTTCAAATTCTATCGATTGAGCACAAGAAATCGCCAAGTCAACTGTTTAAAACTACAAATTAAAGTGATCGGAAATTGTTAATTTGGCCAAATTTTTTAACACAAAGTTCAAAATATTCCAATTTCAAAATAGGGTCCAGAATAAACAATGTAGATATTCCTGGCACTAAACTAACATTTCCTCTTTCATTAGTTACGTTTAAGGCTTTACAAATAAATTCCCTTTTGATTTTTTATTCACATAATGAATTTTTATTCACACCAAAAAAAGAAGATTTACTGTTATGCAATATTGTAATAATTGTTTAAATATCATCACCACATTTGTGAATGTATATTAGACCTACCAGCTGACGTGTATTAGACGTGTGAGGTCGTTTGTTTACTCTTGAATATCGGCAAAAATTTAACATTTCTGCTACTTTGAGCTCAGTTTCAAGCCATTTCCAGTGCTAAAACCAATCAAAACCATCTCTATTTCTATAATATGTCTTCCATTCTATCAAATGAGACCAAGAAATCGCAAATACAACTATAAAAAACATATGAAAAAACACTGCAAAGTCGCTGTTTTTATCGAAAAATCATGATTTCGGTTTTTTTTCTCTCATTATACACATTGTGCTGTAGGATCTGTTTTATGTGGTGCACACATACCACATAGATGTATTCTTTCATATCTAGGCCCAAATGTACCACTCACAGTTTATCAGAGTGAGCTGAGCTCATGACATAGATGTACGGTTTGGACCCTGGATGTAAAGCCGTAGATCTACGGGACGGACCCTGAAAGGGTTAATAAATCCCTGAGTAGTCTGTAAGCATTGGGATTAGTTCTTGAGTAGTGTATAAGCATTGGGATTAGTTGTTAAATAGCCTATAAATAATGAGGTTAGTTTTTGAATAGTCTATAAGCATTGGGATTAGTTCTTGAGTAGTCTATAAGGATTAGTTCTTGAGTAGCCTTAAATTTAACCCTTTGACTGTCGCGGCCGTATATATACGTCTTACGAGGTACCGTGTTTGACGTATATATACTCATAAATTCTAGCAGCTTCAGATCAAGCAGGAGAAAGCTGGTAGGCCCACATGTGGGAGAATGGGTCTGTGTGGTCAGTGTACACCATATAAAAAAAATCCTGGAGCACGCAGTGCATAATGAGAAAAAAAAACTCTGACCTATTTTCGTCTAGTATTTATTGTTGTATTCTCGTTTTCTTGGTCTCATTTGATAGAATGGAAAACATATTATAGAAATAGAGGTGATTTTGATTGATTTTTACTATAAAACGAACCTAGAAATGGAGCTCAAAGTAGGGGAAATGTTTGATTTTTGCCAATGTTCAAAAGTAAATAAATGATGCCATTGTCCAATAAATGTCCAACTAGCCATTGTAATATGCAGTCATGAATGGGTTGATGTTATTTATACAATTATTACAGTATTGCAGTAGTCTGCATAATAGTAAGTCTTCTATTTTTTGTTTGAATAAAAATTCAAAATAGAAAGCAAGAGTAATATCAGAGGGGCCTGGAGACATGACTGATGAACAAAGAAAATGTTATTTTAAAGCCAGGAATGTCTGCATTGTTCATTCTGGTCCTTATTTTGAAATTGTCATATTTTTTAGTTTTCGTGAAATTGGCCAAATTGCAAATTTCCAACTACATTATTAGGTAGTTGAAATCGGTAAATGGGCAGTTTCTTGTACTCAATCGATAGAAAAAATGGAGTTCTCAAGAAATAGCTATGAGTTTGGGCGACTGGAACAATGGAATTAGCCGAAAATAGGGCTCAAAGAGGGCAAAATCGCCGATTTGTAAACAGCGCCGAGGTCGCTAACTTCGCGAGAGCATAATTCCGTCAGTTTTGCATCAAATTTTGTTTTTTTTTGGTGCCATTACAATCGGGAAAAGATTCTCTATCATTTCATAAGAAAAAATAATTTTTTTTTTTAAATTTTGCGACACCAGGAGACACCTCAGGATTGGGGGTTGCGACAGTCAAAGGGTTAAGCATTGGGATTAGTTCTTGAGTAGTCTATAAGCTTTAGGATTAGTTTATGAGTAGTCTTTATGCATTGGGATTAGTTCTTGAGTAGTTTGTAAGCATTAGGATTAGCTTTTGTGTACTTTAATTAAAGCATTGGGATTAGTTGAGTAGTTTTAAAGTTCGGTGGAAACTCGGTATGTGACGTTAATTCATTCCAGATGGCTGTTCGAGTGCCATTCAGTTTGAGTGTCGAATAAGTTCTTCCCAACCAATTTTCTGTTTGGTTGGCTGTTATCACTAATCATCGTAGGCCCCTTGGTGACTTATTTATACAAATAATGCAAAAAGCACCAAAAAATTCTAAGAAACACGAAATAGTTTACAGTGAAGTTCTGACAGGTCATATTTGTTTGGTCAAGTGTTGAGGTTTGCTCGAGTAGGGAGCTGGTCATATGCCGAGGTTCCACTGTGTTAGGATTAGTTTGCCTGAAATGCATTTATGGATTGGTAGCTTTCTTTTGTGTCTAACAATATTTTATTACATATAAACTACATTATCTGTGTACTGCATAAAAGAATTTGACTATAATGATTGTCAAGAGACCAACTGGCTTGCATGTCCCACTTCTGAAACAGGTGATGACAGGGATCATAAAGTCAAGTATGTTTATTCAGGTATACATAAATACAGTTACATAGATTATCATACATAGCAGTACATGTGTAGAGAACTTGGGATAACTTGGAAAAGTGAGACAGTCAAAATTAAAAGTTTATTTCATTGCAAGGGTTACAATGTGTTTGTATTCTTATTTCTTGTTTTTTCAACAAACCGGCCGTATCCCACCAAGGCAGGGTGGCCCAAAAAGAAAAAAGTTTTTCTTTTTAAATTTAGCAATTTGTACAGGAGAAGGGGTTACTAGCCCCTTGCTCCCGGCATTTTAGTCGCCTCTTACAACACGCATGGCTTACGGAGGAAGAATTCTGTTCCACTTCCCCATGGAGATAAGAGGAAATAAACAAGAACAAGAACTAGAAAGAAAATAGAAGAAAACCCAGAGGGGTACAGTGGAACCTCAAAAATCGAACGTATCACATATCGAACATTTCGAAAATAGGACCATTTTTTTGGACAAACTGTGTCCCTATTATCGAACACGCCCCTATTTTCGGACCGCTGGGTATGGGACCTGTCTGCCGCCCGCTCTGTCCGCGTCCCCGCGCAGGCGCCGTGAGCAGTCTAGCTTTGTTTATGCTTGAGTGAACACTAACCTGCGCTCTCATTCACACATTTTACGATTATTTCATTGTGTTTAGTGCTTGTGGGACTGTGAAATAAGCTGCCATGGGCCCAAAGAAACTTGCTAGTGGTACTCCTGTGGTAAAGAAAGTGAGAAACATTATAGATGTGAAGAAGGAAATAATACAGAAGTATTAGAGTGGTGTGAGACTTGTTGAGCTTGCCAGGATGTATGGGAAAAACAAGTCGACCATCGGTTCTGTCCTGTCAAAGAAAGAACAAATCAAGGAAGCTGATGTTGCGAAAGGTGTTAATATAGGTAGTGGATGAGGTGCCTTCTTCAAAGATTAAGGAGATTTGTGCCAAGTGGAATGATGTCGAAATGTTTGTGCAGAAGTACCACCCTGAGCAAGCTGAAACAAGCCATCTTTGCAACAAGTTCAGTGACAGAACCATGTCCCATTTTAGGGAAATGTTAAAGAGGCACCAGAAACAGAGGACTGTGGACAGTTATTTTGTGAGACAGGGGTCCAGTGACTGTCAAGCTGGTCCTAGTGGCATTAAAAGACAGAGAAGGGAAGTAACCCCAGAGAGGGCTTTACCTGAAGTCCTCATGGAGGGGGATTCTCCTTCCAAACACTAACCCCAACTCCCTCTCTCCTCCTCCCTATCTTCCAGATGCCATCACCAATCTTCAATAAAGGTAAGTAAAAATTTTATTTTATATGTATTACTATACATAATTAAAAACTATAGTATTTCTTGTATGTAAAACTGTAATTAATCTCTATAAAATGTATTTTTTGTGTGAATATTTTTGGGTTTCAGGAACGGATTAATTATATTTCCATTATTTCTTATGGGAAATATTGCTTCGAATTTCAGACTTTTTGAATTTAGAACTAACTCCTGGAACGTATTAAGTTCGATTTTTGAGGTTCCACTGTATGTATATATATGCTTGTACATGTATGTGTAGTGTGACCTAAGTGTAAGTAGAAGTAGCAAGACGTACCTGAAATCTTGCATGTTTATGAGACAGAAAAAAGGACACCAGCAATCCTTCCATCATGTAAAACAATTACAGGCTTTCGTTTTACACTCACTTGGCAGGACGCTAGTACCTCCCTGGGCGGTTGCTGTCTACCAACCTACTACCTATAATTATTATTATTATTATTATTATATTTTTTTATTAACACACTGGCCGATTCCCACCAAGGCAGGGTGGCCCGAAAAAGAAAAACTTTCATCATCATTCACTCCATCACTGTCTTGCCAGAGGGATGCTTTACACTACAGTTATAAAACTGCAACATTAACACCCCTTATTATTATTATTATTATTATTATTATTATTATTATTATTATTTTATTACTGTTTCTTTCAACACACCGACCGTATCCCACCGAGGCGGGGTGGCCCAAAAGGAAAAATGAAAGTTTCTCCTTTTACATTTAGTAATATATACAGGAGAAGGGGTTACTAGCCCCTTGCTCCCGGCATTTCAGTCGCCTCTTACAACACGCATGGCTTATGGAGGAAGAATTCTGTTCCACTTCCCCATGGAGATAACAGGAAATAAACAAGAATAAGAACTAGAAAGAAAATAGAAGAAAACCCAGAGAGGTGTGTATATATATGCTTGTACATGTATGTGTAGTGTGACCTAAGTAGAAGTAGCAAGACGTACCTGAAACCTTGCATGTTTATGAGACAGAATAATGGACACCAGCAATCCTACCATCATGTAAAACTGTTACAGGCTTTCGTTTTACACTCACTTGGCAGGACGGTAGTACCTCCCTGGGCGGTTGCTGTCTACCAACCTACTACCTATTTTATTATTAGTATTATTATTATTATTAACACATCAGCCGATTATCACCAAGGCAGGGTGGCCTGAAAAAGAAAAACTTTCGCCATCATTCACTCCATCACTGTCTTGCCAGAGGTGTGCTTACACTACAGTTATAAAAAACTGCAACATTAACACCCTTCCTTCAGAATGCAGACACTGTACTTCCCATCTCCAGGACTCAAGTCCGGCCTGCCGGTTTCTCTGAATCCCTTCATAAATATTACCTTGCTCACACTCCAACAGCATGTCAAGTCCTAAAATCCATTTGTCTCCATTAGCTCTTATCTAACATGCTCACGCATGCTTGCTGGAAGTCCAAGCCCCTCGCACACTAAACCTCCTTTACCTGTTCAACCTTTCCTAGGCCAACCTCTACCCTGCCTTCCCTCCGCTACAGATTTATACACTCTCAAAGTCATTTTATTTTGTTCCATCCTGTCTACATTTCTGAACCATCTCAACAACCCCTCCTCAGCACCTCCTCCTAATTTCCAAACTACAAATTCTCTGCATTATATTTACAACACACATTGCCCTCAAACATGACATCTCCACTGTCCCCAGCCTTCTTGTTGCAACATTCACCATCCATGTTTCACACCCCAATGGAAATAAGTCACTCTGACTTTTTTGGGTTATCCCAGGTTCTCTACACATGTGCTGCTATGTATGATAATTCTATGTAACTGTATTTGTGTATACCTGAATAAACTTACTTACTTACTTATTTAAGAGCATTGGTATAACTATACTCTCATACGTTTCCCTCTTTTCTTCCATGCATAAAGTTCTTTGTCTCCACAGACTCCTCAGTGCACCAATCACCTTTTTCCCCTCTATGATCCACCTCATCTTCCATAGACCCATCTGTTGACACGTCCACTCCTAAATATCTGAAAACATTCACCTCCTCCATACTCTCTCCCTCCAATCTGATATCCAGTCTTTTGTTACCTAATTTTTTTGTTATCCTCATCACCTTACTCTTTCCTGTGTTCACTTTTAATTTTCTTCTTTTACATACACTACCAAATTCATCCACCAACCTCTGCAACTTCTCTTCAGAATCTGCCAAAAGAACAGTGTCATCAGCAAAGAGCAACTGTGACAACTCCCACTTTGTGTTTGATTCTTTATCTTTTAACTCCACACCTCTTGCCAACACCCTCGCATTCACTTCTCTTACAACCCCATTTATAAATATATTGAACAACCATGGTGACATCACACATCCTTGTCTAAGGCCTGATTTTACTGGGAAATAATCTCCCTCTCTCCTACATGCTCTAACCTGAGCCTCACTATCCTTGTAAAAACTCTTCACTGCTTTCAGTAACCTACCTCCTACACCATACACCTGCAACATCTGCCACATTGCCCCCCTATCCACCCTGTCATATGCCTTTTCCAAATCCATAAATGCCACAAAGACCTCTTTAGCCTTATCTAAATACTGTTCACTTATATGTTTCACTGTAAACACCTGGTCCACACACCCCCTACCTTTCCTAAAGCCTCCTTGTTCATCTGCTATCCTACCCTCCATCTTACTTTTTTGTTCATTACCTTTGTAACTTGTCATGATTGTGACCAGATCTAGTTCATTACCTTTGTAACTTGTTCATCTCTCAAAACTTTGGAGTCCAGTCTCTGGACCCATTACGTACCTCTGTAATCTTTTGACTACCACCCACAGGATGGGTATGGGGTACATAATAAACATATTAAACTAACTCTACCATACACTTTACCAGGTAAAGTCAACAGACTTTTTCCCTATAATATTTGCACTCTCTTTTGTCCCCTTTGCCTTTATAGAAAGGAACTATGCATGCTCTCTGCCAATCCCTAGGTACCTTACCCTCTTCCATACATTTATTAAATAATAGCACCAAAATATTCCCTCCATCTTCCCGATACCTCTAACTCTCCATTTAATAACTCTCCTCTCCTCTTTTTAACTGTCAAATCCATTTGTTCCCTGAGGCTTCCTCAACTTATTAATCTCACTCCAAAACGTTTTCTTATTTTCAACAAAATTTGTTGATAACATCTCACCCACTCTCTCATTTGCTCTCTTTTCACATTGCTTCACCACTCTCTTAACCTCTCTCTTTTTCTCCATATACTCTTCCCTCCCTGCTTCACTTCTATTTTGTAAAAACCTCTCATATGCTAACTTTTTCCTCCTCACTACTCTCTTTACATCATCATTCCACCAATTGCTCTTCTTCCCTCCCACACCCACTCTCCTGCAACCACAAACTTCTGCTGAACACTCTAACACTACATTCTTAAACCTACCCCATTCATCTTCAACCCCATTGCCTATACTCTCACTAGCCCATTTATCCTCCAATAGTTGTTTATATCTTACCCTAACTGCCTCCTCTTTTAGTTTATACACCTTCACCTGCTTCTATTTTCCTTGTATCCCATCTACCTTTTACTCTCACTGTAGCTGCAACTAAAAAGTGACTTGATATATCTGTGGCCCCTCTATAAACATGTACATCCTGAAGTCTACTCAACAGTCTTTTATCTACCAATACATAGTCCAACGAACTACTGTCATTATGCCCTACATCATATCTTGTATACTTATTTATCCTCTTTTTCTTAAAATATGTATTACCTATAACTAAACCCCTTTCTATACAAAGTTCAATCAAAGGGCTCCCATTATCATTTACACCTGGCACCCCAAACTTACCTACCACACCCTCTCTAAATGTTTCTCCTACTTTAGCATTCAGGTCCCCTACCACAATTACTCTCTCACTTGGTTCAAACACAAACACAATGAGTAACTGTATGTTGCTACCAACAGTAACAAAACCTACAAGAGTTACAGAGACTAGTGTTTCCCTACTTGACCACATCTGGACCAACACCATATCCCCTTTAAAATCAGGCATAATTACAGATAATACCACAGACCACTACCCTACTTTTCTCATAACGACTCTTGGTAAATTACCCCAAGACACTACTAAAGTCACCTTCAGACTTCACAATGAGGCAGCCATTAATAACTTCACAACAGCAGTAGCAAACATTGACTGGCACACAGCTAGAAATCTATACAGATATTGACGAATGTATTAATAATTTTCTAAAAAAGACCCAATACCTCTATAACAAGCACTGCCCCAAAAAAACTAAACAGATGACAGCTAAGAGACTGAACATTCCCTGGTTAACACCCAGCATTCTCAAATCCATAAATACAAAACACCAATATGAAAAACAGTACAGAATGGGTCACATAACCAGAGACCAAACAAAACGTTACTCGTCAATCCTAACCAGCCTGATAAGAAGGGCAAAAAAATTGTATTATGAGAACAGATTATCCAACTTACGAGGTGATATAAAAAATACCTGGAAAACCCTATCAGAAATTCTAGGAACAAAAAAGATATCACGAAATAGCGAAATAAAATTAGCAAAATCAGATGAACCCCAACTCCCACCAACAGAAAACAGCAAACAGACTCAATGACTTCTTCTCCACTATAGGACAAAACCTTGCCAATAAAATCCCAAGCTCAGATACCCCACCAAATGACTACCTCACTGGCAACTACCCGAACACACTGTTCCTAGCTCCGACTAACCCATACGAAGTCTCCCTTATTATCAACACGCTAAAAAACAAGGCAGGAGATTTAAATACCTTACCACCCTTTATATACAAAAAAGTGTCACAAGTGCTATCACCAATCATTGCAACACTCTTTAACAAATCCATTGAATCCTCCACCTTCCCTACAGTACTCAAAATAGCAAGGGTCACCCCGATCCACAAAGGAGGAGACCAAACAGAGTTGAATAACTATAGGCCAATATCCAACTTACACCCTCTCTCAAAAATCTTCGAAAAATTAATTCATAGACGAATCTACTCCTACCTTATCTCCCAAAACATACTCAACCCCTGCCAATTTGGATTCAGGCCTAATAAAAATACTAATGATGCTATTATACACATGCTAGAACATATATACACTGCAATAGAGAAAAAAGAAGTCCCACTGGGGATCTTCATTGACTTACGTAAAGCTTTTGATACAGTTGACCATGACTTGCTCCACGTAAAATTGTCACACATAGTATGGTATAAGAGGGCACTCCCTCAACTACCTCAAGTCATACCTCAGCAACAGAAGCCAATATGTGTATGCAAATGGGGCAAACTCTTCTGCACAACCAATTACAGTTGGTGTCCCACAGGGAAGTGTCCTTGGCCCTCTTCTCTTTCTCCTATACATAAATGACCTACCAAATGCTTCGCAATTACTCAAACCCACACTATTTGCAGATGACAATACATACGTCTTCTCCCACCCGAGCCCAGTCACGCTAGCCAATACTGTAAACACCGAATTACAGAAAATATCTACCTGGATGAGGACTAACAAACTTACACTAAACATTGACAAAAACCTACTTCATTCAGTTTGGTAACAGAGCTACAGATGTCCCTCTTAAACATAATGATAAACGGATCACCTATCACAAAGCTAACAGAGGGAAAATTCTTAGGAATCCACCTTGATAATAGACTCAAATTTCATACACATATACAACAAATTTCTAAGAAAATTTCCAAGACTGTAGGCATACTATCGAAGATACGGTACTATGCTCCACAGTCAGCCCTCCTGGCCCTATATCACTCTCTTATTTACCCCTATCTCACCTATGGAATTTGTGCATGGGGCTCAACAACAAGTAACCATCTCAACCACTAATTACCCAACAAAGGCTGCAGTTAGAATGATAACAAATTCTCACTATAGGCAGCACACCCACCAATATTCAATACACTAAACCTATTCACCATACAAAACATTCATACTTATTACTGCACCTATTACATACATAGAACACTTAACTCTGATATTAACCCTCCCCTCAAACATCTCCTTGCCAACCTCAACAGAACACATGACCATAACACAAGGCACAGATCACTCTTTGATGTTCCTCGTGTCCATCTCACACTATGCAAAAACTCAATGCACATAAAAGGCCCTAAAATCTGGAACTCATTACCTGTAAATATAAAAGAAACACTACCTGTTTATAAATTCAAGTCTCTTCTCAAAGATCACTTACTCACCCAAAACCAAATAAATACTGAATAACTGAACCTTATAAATTGTATATCTTAAATGTTTCTCACAATTATATCACATAAATGTTAAACCTAAAACCCAATCTAACTTTATTATTTTTTAAATACACTACCTAACAGAATACTCCATTCTACTGAATATACAACAATGCATACAACCATATGACCTGTCTTTGTAATACTCACTTGTGCTTTATAGTAATCTGTTTACATTAATGTTTTATCACTGATGTCATCATTGCTTAGTTCATCTTAAGTTAATTTTAAGTCAGCCCGTAATGCTATGCATAGTATAAGTGGCTTTGGCATGCTGCTCTTATCTGTATTTTTTGTACCTCTGTATGTGTGCACAAATTTTTAAATAAATAAATAAAATAAAAGGTTCCTATACATTCGCTTAGCATCTCCCAAAATCTCTCTCTCTACACTCCTCTCTTCTCCAGGTGCATACACACTTATTATGACTCACTTTTCGCATCCGACCCTTATTTTAATCCACATAATCCTTGAATTTACACATTTATATTCCCTCTTCTCCTTCTATAACTGATCCTTCAACATTATTGCTGCCCCTTCCTTAGCTGTAACTCTCATTATTATTATTATTATTATTATTATTATTCTTATTATTATTATTATTATTATTATTATTATTATTATTATTATTATTATTATTATTATTATTATTATTATTATTAATTGCATGATATTTTGAAAAGTCTGTGTGCTAATCAAGCTTGGCATTTAGGGAAGGAGTTTTGGAGACAATGTGAAGAGTGGGGTGAACAGCAGCGGCAGCAGCGGCCATAGTGCCCCCGCTGGTGGAACTGCCAGTGGAGGAAACCAACAAATTCAACTGTGGCAATTTCTATTAGAACTTCTAACAGACCCGAAAGTAAGTGTTAATGATAGTTGTTACAAAAGTGTTTGTATTAGATTTTTTGCTTACTGTGCCATAATACTACCCCTTTGAGTTCACTGGCCATGCTGTAGTACAGTGGAACCTTGGTACTCGAAGTTAATTCACTCCAGAAGGCTGTTCGAGTGCCGATCTGTTCGAGTACCAAACGAATTTTCCCAACCAATTTTATTTTTGGTCGGAGGTTATCACTAATCTTATTTATACAAATAATATAAAAAAATGCCAAAAAAATCAAAGAAACACGAAATAATTTACAACAAAGCTCTAGCAGGTTGTGTTTGGTCGAGTGCTGAGCAAACGGCCAATTACCGAGCAAGTTTTTACTGAACAAAGCTTTCAAATGCTGAATTGTTCGAGTAGGGAGCTGTTTGAGTACAGAGTTTCCACTGTACAACATAATGAGCTCAGCTCAACCAGATAAGCTGTGAGCAATAAATTTGGGCCTAAATATGAAAGAATGGATGTTTGTGGTAAGTGTGTACTATATATAAAAATTCTGCAGCACACAGTACATAATGAGAAAAAAAGTGAGTGTTTTCGGTTTTAAAATGGTGACTTTGCTGTCTATTTTTTGTATGGTTTGTTTGTTTGTACTCTGTTTCTTGGTCTCATTTGATAGACTTGAAGATATATTACAGAAATAGAGATAATTTTGATTGGTTTCAGGTCTGGAAATAGCTTGAAATTGAGCTCAAAGTAGCGGAAATATTCGATATTTGCCAAATTTCCACAGTAAACAAATCATATCACATGTCTGATACATGTCCAACTGGTGGGTCTAATATATGTTCACAAATACACTGATATTATTTATACAGTTATTACAATATTGCATAATAGTAAATACACCTACCATCCGATTTACGACCTTGACTTACGACCACTCGACTTACGACCGAGTTTTTTATGCCAAATTTCTGGAAATAAACAACTATTTGTGTTGTACACAGTGTTTATCCTAAACCTTACAGTATAAAACACAGTACTAACAACATAAAAAGTAAAGTAAAACATGAAATACCAAAATAAAACAATAAAATAAAGTCATTACAAAAATGTGTTGTTGATATTCAGTAGTAAAGTTCGACTTACGACCATTTTGACTTACGACTGGTTTCTCAGAACCGAACTCGGTCGTAAGTCGGATGGTAGGTGTATTCTATTTTTTGCGTGAATAAAAATTCTTTGTTTGAATAACAAAATCAAAATGGAATTCATACATGAAGCTTGGAATGCCCGTATTGTTTATTCTGGACCATATTTTCAAAGTAGAATATTTTGAAATTTGTGAAAGTGGCCAAATTACCAATTTCTGATCACTATTGGGTACAGTGGAACCTCAAAAATCGAACATATCACATATTGAACGTTTCGAAAATAGGACCATTTTTCGGACAAACTGTGTCCCTATTATCGAACGTGCCCCTATTTTTGGACCGATGGGTACGGGACCTGTCTGCCACCCACTCTTTCCGCGTCCCCGTGCAGGCGTCGTGAGCAGTCTAGCTTTGTTTATGCTTGAGTGAACACTAACCTGCGCTCTCATTCACGCATTTTACGATTATTTCATTGTGTTTAGTGCTTGTGGGACTGTGAAATAAGCTGCCATGGGCCCAAAGAAACTTGCTAGTGGTACCCCTGTGGTAAAGAAAGTGAGAAACACCATAGATGTGAAGAAGGAAATAATACAGAAGTATGAGAGTGGTGTGAGACTTGTCGAGCTTGCCAGGATGTATGGGAAAAACAAGTCGACCATTGGTTCTATCCTGTCAAAGAAAGAACAAATCAAGGAAGCTGATGTTGCGAAAGGTGTTAATATAGGTAGTGGATGAGGTGCCTTCTTCAAAGATTAAGGAGATTTGTGCCAAGTGGAATGATGTCGAAATGTTTGTGCAGAAGTACCACCCTGAGCAAGCTGAAACAAGCCATCTTTGCAACAAGTTCAGTGACAGAACCATGTCCCATTTTAGGGAAATGTTAAAGAGGCACCAGAAACAGAGGACTGTGGACAGTTATTTTGTGAGACAGGGGTCCAGTGACTGTCAAGCTGGTCCTAGTGGCATAAAAGACAGAGAAGGGAAGAAACCCCAAGGGGGCTTTACCTAAGTCCCATGGAGGGGTTTCCCTTTCCAACAAAAAACCCCAACCCCCTCTCTCCCCCCTCCCTATTTTCCAATGCCACACCAATCTTCAATAAAGGTAATAAAAATGTTTTTTAATGTCATGGCCCCCCTTTAAAACAATATTTTTTCATTCCAAAGTATTTTCAGGTCTAACGACCGAATTTTTTCCCCAAAAGGAATATTGGAAGTAGATTGTCCATTTCAGACCCCCAAACATACACTACAAACGCACTTAAAAAAATACACTTACATAATTGGTCCTTTGGAGGTGTCGTAAGGGGGGGTCCACTGTATTAATAACATAATTAAAAAACATAATATTTGTTGTATGAAAAAACTGAAATTAATCTCTATAAAGTGTATTTTTTGTGTGAAATTTTTGGGTTTCGGGAACGGTTTAAATTGTATTTCCATTATTTCTTAGGGGAAATATTCTTCGAACGAATTTTCGAATTAGAACTAACCCCCGGAACGTTTTAAAGTTAATTTTTTTGGGTTCCACTGTAGTCGAAATATTTGTTTGGGGAAATTTTTGTGCCTCTATAAAAGGGATGACTACTAGTAAAATAGCAAAATTTTGGGGCCGACTGCAACGTGTAATTGGACTGAAATAGGAACAAAGTGGAAAAATTCCCGATGTGTAAATTGCCAATGCAGAAAAATTTGCGTAAGTTTAATTTTTTTCCTTTTTTTTACATCATACTTTTTTCATACTTTCAGTTTGTTTTCAATCAGAAAAATTTCCCCATTTCTTAAGAAAAAATAACAAAAATTTGTTTTAAAATTTTGACACTGAGCAAGAGGGGGTTTAAACCCTTTTCAGTGAGTCCCAAACTTTACGGCTTGAGACCCATTCGGTCCAAAATATACCCCAAAATTCTAGCTCCTTAAAATTTGGGTGGAAGAAAGCGGTAGGCCACATATGAAAAAAGGATCTCAGGTCAGTGTGCACAGTATGGAAAAAATCCTGCAGCACACAGTGCAAAATAGGAAAAAAAAACTTCATCTGTGTTTTTGGTTTTAAAAATACGATTTTGCATTGTATTTTTTATGGTTTGATAGTTGTATTCTCATTTTTTTGGGTCTCTTTTGATAGGGAAGATATTTTAAAAAATGGAGATAATTTTGATTGGTTTCGTGATAAAATACCTTGAAATTGAGCTCAAAATAGCTGAAATGTTGGATTTTTGCGATTTTAAAGAGTAAAAAAATGACGTCACTCCCCAATATTGCCAAGGCCTTTTTTAGTACACAGTCACAAGTGGGTTGGCATTATTTATCAATTATTATAATAATGCAGTGCTGTTTAAAACAGAAAAATCTCTATTTTTTGTGAAAAAAAATAAAAAGGGAAAAGCAAAAAAAATTAGAGGGTCCGGTGACATACTAATGGACAAAAAAAATTTATTTAGTGCCGGGAATGTCTCCCTGTTTATTTGGCCCCCCTATTTTGAAATTGGCTTCTTTTGAAATTGTTAAAAATTGGCCAAATTATCAATATCTAACCACTTTACAGTAAAAACCCCCCCGCCTTTAACATTACCTCCGGGACCAATTATGTAAGTGAATTTAGTAAGTGCGTTTGTACGTGTATGTTTGGGGTCTGAAAAGGACAATCTACTTCACAATATTTCTTTGGGAAAAAAATTCGGTCATACTGGCACCTGAACAACTTTTGGAGTAAAAAAAAATCGTTAACCGGGGTCCACGTATTAGGTATTGAAATCGGTAAAAGGGGTGGTTTCTTTTACTCAGTCGATAGAACGAAAAGGAGTTTTTTTAGTGAAATAGCTATGGGTTTGGAGCTGGAACAATGGAATTGGCGAAAAAAGGGCTCAGAGTGGGTGAAATCACCGATCTTTTATATCACCGAGACGCTAATTTCGTGAAGCATAATTCCGTAAGTTTTTCCCCTCAATTTTATATTTTTTAGGGCATTATTTTCGAGAAAAAAATTCTCAATCATTTCTAAGAAAAAAAAAATTTTTTTTTTTTAAATTCTTGACACTGAGAGCAAGTTTTGTGAGCGGGGTCTTGACATTAAAGGGTTAGGTTTCATCTCCTCAGTATTATTGCTTTTGCACAATCATAAATTCAAAATATTTAAGTCGGCGTACCTATACTTAATAGGGAAATTTTTTTAAAAAAAAGAAGTTAAATTATAAACAATGATAGTCAAAAGGGGAAATTTTGGGGGTTTTAAAGAAATTATGTAAGTTGACCCCCCACTTACAAATTTTCTGATTCTGTAATTTTGGGTTCATCGGGGGCTTGAAGTCGAGCCAGTTTTTGCCATGGGTTTAAGTTTAAATGGTCATTTCACGTGGAAACCTTCATTACTGATTTTTTTTTTTTTTCTTTTAGTGACTTACTAGTCATTTTAGGTAGAGGGGGCTAGGCTTATAGGGACATAATACTTTTCTTGGCCCCCAAAAAACTGAAATACGTAGTTATTAAAACAAACCTAGAGTGCCCTTATGTATTCTTTTTATTGTTCACCATCAGGACACCCTGCACTAAGCACTCTTTTTCAATGTTCCATGCTTATTGGTATAAAAACAAGCCATTGTTCATTAGTTCCACTACAACGAAGCTCCCAACAGGGGTTTAAAAAATTTAGATATTTCAGTTTGAAGCAAAAAAACTTGGAACACCCAAAAGAAAAGTGCTGTATGTGCAGGGGCCCCAAACACCTACCATCCGACACGACCTGCTCGAATAAACCACCGATTACAACCATGTTTTTTTTTGCCAATTTCTGGGAAAAAAAAAAAAACAACTAAGTCCCCCCCGGAACGTTTTTTTCACTCCAGAAATATGTTCAGGGGCCCTACTGACCGAATTTTTCCCAAAAAAATATTGTGAAGTAAATTAGCCATTTTAGACCCCAAACAACACTACAAACGCACTTACTAAAAACTTACATAAATTGGGGCCATTTGGAGGAAACGTTATGCGGGGGTCCCACTGTTTTGTGTTGTACACAGTGTTTATCCTAAACCTTACCATATAAAATACAGCATAAAAATAACAGCATAAAAAGTAAAGTAAAACTGAAAAAACAAATAAAACAAAAAAAATAAGTCCTTACAAAAATGTTTTGGTTTTATTCAGTAGTAAAAATTCGATTTCGACCATTTCGACTTACGACCGGTTTCTCGGAACTGAACTCGGTCGTAAGTCGGATGGTAGGTGTACTTTGTTATCTCACCAGGAAATGAGCAAAAATAACCCTAAGTGTTGAGTGGTGTAAATCGAACACTGCTGCAGGCCTACTGGCCCATACTAGGCAGGTCTTTCTCAAACCCAAACCCACTAACAAAAATATATGCCCAGCCTGTTTTCAATTCTACTCAAGGAATAAGCTTTGATAACCCAGATCCAGTGTTTTTTTTATTGTATCTGCCACTAAGGCTGAAACTCTTAATGATTTTTCCACAGTTTTACCCGATAATTTCCTGGTATGGCTTCGATGGAGAATTTCGTCTTCACCAACCAGAGGTTGTGGCCAGTCTGTGGGGCCAGCGCAAGAGTAAGCCAAATATGAACTACGAAAAACTCTCCAGAGCTCTCAGGTATGATTTGTATTTTTATACAAGTAATTTTCTTTCTTTCAACACACCGACCGTATCCCACCGAGGCAGGGTGGCCCGAAAAAGAAAAACTTTCATCATCATTCACTCCATCACTGTCTTGCCAGAGGGATGTTTTACACTACAGTTATAAAACTGCAACATTAACACCCCTTATTATTATTATTATTATTATTATTATTATTATTATTATTATTATTATTATTTTATTACTCTTTCTTTCAACACACCGGCCGTATCCCACCGAGGCGGGGTGGCCCAAAAGGAAAAACGAAAGTTTCTCCTTTTACATTTAGTAATATATACAGGAGAAGGGGTTACTAGCCCCTTGCTCCCAGAAGTAATTTCTCAGTAATAATATATTGAGTACTGTAGTTAAAGGCACACATGCAGAATCCTGCCTGTTGTTCTTTAAAACTGATCTCGGAGCTACGGGAGGTCTCTCCCATGTATGTCTGGTCACAAGTGCTACATGGAATGATCTCGGAGCTACGGGAGGTCTCTCCCATGTATATCTGGTCACAAGTGCTACATGGAATGATCTCGGAGCTACGGGAGGTCTCTCCCATGTATATCTGGTCACAAGTGCTACATGGAATGATCTCGGAGCTACAGGAGGTCTCTCCCATGTATATCTGGTCACAAGTGCTACATGGAATGATCTCGGAGCTACGGGAGGTCTCTCCCATGTATATCTGGTCACAAGTGCTACATGGAATGATCTCGGAGCTACGGGAGGTCTCTCCCATGTATATATGGTCACAAGTGCTACATGGAATGATCTCGGAGCTACGGGAGGTCTCTCCCATTTATATCTGGTCACAAGTGCTACATGGAATGATCTCGGAGCTACGGGAGGTCTCTCCCATGTATATCTGGTCACAAGTGCTACATGGAATGATCTCGGAGCTACAGGAGGTCTCTCCCATGTATATCTGGTCACAAGTGCTACATGGAATGATCTCGGAGCTACAGGAGGTCTCTCCCATGTATATCTGGTCACAAGTGCTACATGGAATGATCTCGGAGCTACGGGAGGTCTCTCCCATGTATATCTGGTCACAAGTGCTACATGGAATGATCTCGGAGCTATGGGAGGTCTCTCCCATGTATATCTGGTCACAAGTGCTACATGGAATGATCTCGGAGCTACGGGAGGTCTCTCCCATGTATATCTGGTCACAAGTGCTACATGGAATGATCTCGGAGCTACAGGAGGTCTCTCCCATGTATATCTGGTCACAAGTGCTACATGGAATGATCTCGGAGCTACGGGAGGTCTCTCCCATGTATATCTGGTCACAAGTGCTACATGGAATGATCTCAGAGCTATGGGAGGTCTCTCCCATGTATATCTGGTCACAAGTGCTACATGGAATGATCTCGGAGCTACGGGAGGTCTCTCCCATGTATATCTGGTCAAAAGTGCTACATGGAATGATCTCGGAGCTACGGGAGGTCTCTCCCATGTATATATGGTCACAAGTGCTACATGGAATGATCTCGGAGCTACGGGAGGTCTCTCCCATGTATATCTGGTCACAAGTGCTACATGGAATGAGAAGCTCTATACACGTGTATTATAGAGCTTCTGGTAGTTGTTTTTTTGCCTGGACAGTTCAGGCCACTTGGGGCAAAATATTTCCTTAATATAGATCTTGAACTGTGTATATGAATCTTTACATTAGAACATAAGAATGGAGGAGCACTGCGGAAGGCCTACTGGCCCATACAAGGCAGGTCCTTATGAAAACCACCCCTTCCCAAAGCTACCTAAGAATTTATTCTTGTACCCACGACACCAATCAAACCCAGCCCTTCCCACTCCACTCACAAATTTATCCAATCTCTCTTTAAAGTTGCACAGGGTCCTATCCTTGATTACCAACTCAGAAGACTGTTCTACGCATCAACAATTATGTTTGAAAACCAGTACTTACCTGTGTCCTTTCCAAATCTAAATTTATCTAACTTCATTTTGTTATTTCTGATTCTTACCTGATTCAATATCTTCAGTACAGTGGACCCCCGCTTTACGATCAGCTCCCAATGCGACCAGTTACGTAAGTGTATTTATGTAAGTGCGTTTGTACGTGTATGTTTGGGGATCTGAAATGGGCTAATCTAATTCACAGTATTCCTAATGGGAACAAATTCGTTCAGTAATGGCACCTGAACATACTTCTGGAATGAAATAATATCGTAAACCAGGGGTCCACTGTATTTTATTAATATCGCCTTTGTTTATGTTATACCCATCATCCACTTATACACTTTAACGATATCTCCTCTCATTCTATGTCGCTCAAGAGAGTGAAGATTCAAGGATCTAAGTCTCTCTTCATGTGGGAGAATCATTATACACTGAATCATTTTAATCATTCTTCTCTTTATCTTCTCCAATGAATTTTTATCCATCCTGTAGTAAGGAGACCAAAACTGAGCGACATAATTCAAGTGAGGCCTCACTAGTAATGTATTGAGCTGTATAGTCAGTTTTGGTCTCCTGGTACTTATACTTCTTGAAATAAATTCTAGTAATCTGTTAGCCTTATTGTGCACACTTAGGTACTGTTGTCTTGGCTTTAGATTTCTGCTTACCATGACTCCCAAGTCTTTTTCACACTCTGTATGATCAAGCTCTACTTCACCTAGTTTATAACTTCGAGGGTTATTTTCATTACCAAGGACTAGGACTTTATACTTGTTTACATTGAACTTCATCTGCCACTTTTCAGACCAAGACATTAATTTGTCCAAATCCTCCTGGAGCTCATTGGTATCCTTCTCGGAATCAATTATTCGGCATATTTTTGTATTATCAGTAAATCTGCTTGTGTCACTTGTAATTCCATCATCAAGGTCATTAAGCCTTTCCGGGTCCAGATCCCTGATCTAAAACTTGTCCACAGGGTCCAAGAATCTAAAAAAAAAAAAAAAAAAATTATGAAATGGTAGAAAATCTTTTTCTGAAGGTAATAAAACAAAAAGTAGAAAATTTGTTGGAAAAGTTGACGACGTGCTATCACAAATTTTCTTGTGTCAGTAATATTTATGTATCGGCGATTTTGCCCATTTTGACACCTATTTTAGGCCAGTTACATTGTTTCAGTCAGCCAGATTATTAGCTATTTTGCAAGTATGCCTTTTATTTTATTGATTGAGCACAAGTTACTGCCAAATCAACTACTTCAACTACCCAATA